AACTCAGATAGGAATTGTATATCCGCACTTTGCTTACCTCATGCAAAGTCTGTGCCTCACGCAATCTTTGTTCTGTTTGGAGTGCTTGGTGTACGGAGGACTCCTCAACGAAAGCTCTGGCTTCATTAGCCACAGTGGCTCAAAGCTGGGCCGCTTCGTCAACAAGTCGTTGTTCCCTTCCATTGGTCTTTCTCTATGACGAAGTTCGGCTATTGCTCTTGAGGAGCTTTCTCCTGTTGCACTGGTTGACCCTTCTTGTGCACACATTTTGGTTGAAGGTAGCTGACAAACCCTCATCATTCAGTTGGCCCAACCCAGCACTGCGAACTAGTGGTGTGTCGCGTGGCGTGTCGCTATCCTATGCCGAACTATGCCCAGCGTCACCCATGATTCCGAAAGCTGCGCACCAGCTTGGTAAGTGGGAGGGAACCGATGGCAGTTCAAGCACATGCCGCACTTTGGGCCGTGCGGCTGATAACCTGCGTGATTACAGGCGAACCGCCCACTAGCGCCAACCCAACTAGCGCACATCTGGTTTCATCTTGAGCCATACCAGTAGTATGAGGTGACATGCCAATAGTATGCGTGCGACTACCGTGAAAACACCACCATCTACATGCCATTTCTTCCACTCTGTTGCGTTCTTTCACCGCCCCACCCCCCCAGCTTATCCGAACCCACTCCCCAGCTTCACGGTGGAATCCGTTCTTTTCACCGCCCCAGTGGCTCGAAGAAGTCCGGGGACGGCGGCATGGGACTGCCCATGGGCGGCGCCGGCAGCGCTCCGAGGGCTTCCGCGTAGGGCCAGACTTCGGGCGAGCTGAGCATCGACGGCTCGGGCTCCTGAGGTCGGAAGGGTCACCAGGGGGGTGAAGTGTTCACAGCACGCCGAGCTGCTACCGTTGGACGCCTCCCAAAACCGGAAAAACCCAAGGGATCCAGGGATACGAGGTGTTCAAGGGTTAGAAATGCATGGCCAACGGGCCACCAAGAGGTGCCAAGAGGTGCGCGTTGGCAGCAAGATCATCGCGATTTAGAATGAGTTTGTGTGGCGTTTTGCGCCGTCTTTGTGGCAGCATCTGCCTCTCCTTTATGCTCAAGTCTGAGGAACCCAGCCCTGGGTGGTCATGATGCTAACGACAGTCCCGGTTTGAAACATCGCCCGGTTCCGATGTGAGGACTTCCAAGTCACCGAAGTCCAACTCTTCAAGTTCACATGCGAATCAAATGAGCAGAAATCCGTATGGATCTTCCTCTTCTGTGGGGTGCCCCAAATGCCGTTTTCAAAGGCAATGCACTGAGAAGAAAAAATGACGGTCGCCGTTCCTCCAAACAGGAACGCTCATTCTCATTCATTCTCCACCCTCTTCTCCAACCCAGGAACACTCAAGGTGTAGACCTGCGAGTCCAGCCATTCCTCGGACTCAGGATGCACTGAGCATGGGAGAGGTCCATCGAACTTGCGAACATGAACCCTAGGATTCAAACAACCATTGTTTTAATGGTCTTTACCAAAGAACTATTGTTTTACTAAGGACTTTTACACTACACCACCAGCTCAACCGTTCTTTTAATGGTCTTTGAAGGCTAGGGTGAAGCTACTGTACGAACGTAGCTCCCATACGACCAGTAGCTGGAAGCTACGAACGTGACAAAGGGGCAAGAAGGCGACCGAACGTAGCGATGCCGCGTACGTGACGAACGTAGCGATGCCCGTACGCTACGAATGGCAGCAAAGGTGATTGGAGAGATTGAACCGGGAAAGTGCGAACCTGATTTCTTGGAATTGGTCCGGTTCTGCTGAAAGTACCAAGAGCGGCGAAGAGCGGCCGCCCGATCTCAGACTGAGGGTAGATAGTGCACTTTCATGTGGTGCGAATTTGCGAATTGCTCCACGTCTGCGCACATTGAACCTACAGCATGTGAGGTAGAATGCTGATGAATCAAGCCCCCATGGAGCCCCCCCTGTCGTTTGGCTAGTTGAAACCTCTTCTTTTTGGGGGGCCGGGTTCATCAACAAGTCTACCACTTACTTGAGGGGTGAAGAACAACCCCCCAAACCGGGTGCAGGTCGCGGTGGTTCGGCCCGGTAACTCGACTCGTGGGGGAAGAAACCAGTTGGGCGCGCGCCAGCGATGGCTGGCGCATATTTCAACCTATAGTGACTGGATGATTCCCCATGATGCATATATGCATATATAAGTTTGAGTGACTTGAAAGCACCAACCACGCAAAGGGGTGAAATCCTTGAGAAAAAAAACCAAGAGATCGAGGCAAAAACACTAAGAAGTCATGTTGCATTAAAGCACCACCTACTGCACATGTATATAAGTATTAAAAACCAAGCGATCTTCTTTTAGTGGGGATCGGACTACATTTGCCAGGAAAATGTCGATTTGGGATATATAGCAAAAAATCCATAAAAAGATCCCCAGACCCGTCTCGTTTGATCCCCCGACCCGTCTGCTCCCCCGGGCGCCGTCCAAGTGGCCGCGGCCCTGCTACTGGATGAGCGCCACCAGCTCGTCTTCGGCCAGGTCGCCGGGCCTTCCGGCACATCCGTCTCCTGCCGTCGCCGCGCTGGCGTCGAACGGAGCCTTTTCCACCGCAGCTTGGAGAAGCCCCGAGAAGCTGAGCACCCTTCCGGATTGTGTGGGCTCCAGCCGCATTCCGCGATTCCGCCACAAACCAGTGGCGTTCGCCGGTGCTGGGTCACGTGAGGCGACCCAAACGGAGCGGCAAACCATTTGAGTTCTCAGCGGTTTCTCGGAAATGATGTGGACATAATCATGAAAAAATTAGACATTTGTTTTCGTGGCGGGAAACATCCTCGTGCACTCCAGCAGTTTCATGAACCTCATGAAACCTATCATTTTGGGCGGCTTCTTTGTTGTGTCGGGACCGTGTCGTTGGTTGACCAGACCACGCTTTTCGGATCACACGGTCGCCCTTGGTCAATACCCAATCGCATGCCTGTGCTTTCGTTCCCAAGTTCCCAGCGCTGGAGTTGACCCTGGTCCAGACATAGAAGTGGTGACTTTAGCTCCTTTCATGCCAGTCTTTGCGCGGGAATCGGAACTCGAGCTCATCCGACCCGAGGTCGGCACCGGAGGAGAAAGCCAGGCATGAAGCAAAAGAGGCAACGGCTGGCACGAATCGGAACAGAAGCACCCCGTTTTCGCCGGACGTTCTTAATAAACCTCACACAAAAAAAAAAAAGAGAGAGAGAGAGGGGGGGCAGACCTCAGTACATCGCCTCCAGGATCCGTTTTGTTGGGGGCCGTCACTCTCGTGTCACTCGACCGTCACGTGACCCAGTCGACTCGTCGCGCGCGTCGCGTCGCCATGACCGGACCCCAGAAGTCCGAACGACGGACGCCCCGAACGACGCCCCACCGGGGCGTCGTAGAGGTCCCCAACCGGGCGACCGGGGAGGACGACCTCCGCCGAGCTGGCGGAGTACGACCATACCACCCCCCAGAAGCGTCTGGACTCTCTCACATCCGCCCCGAGTCCACGGGAGCCCTCAAACAAAGAATTCTCATCGACCCCAGTGGCTTTCAGGGTTATAAACAAGGAGGGCAGGACATGGCAAATCACTGTCAACATTTGATCGGGGGACATGAGTGAATGGCAGCTGCAGGCAGTCCTCTGGGATGTCGAAAAAGGTATTCCTCAGAGGTGGGGTATGTCTCGGCAGAACCACAACCTGAACATCACGGAACCCCTTCCTGGGATATTCCACATCCATATATACTACCTGGTTTATGAGGGGCCCAAGCCGCTGCAAGGGGCACCGAGGGGCACTGAGCGTTCACCAGAGTCTGGCCCAGCAGTGTTCCCTCTCAGCAGTGCTTTTGGATGTTTCCCTTCAAGGCAAAACCGTGGCGGCGGCATTGGCTTTGGGATGGTTGGGTCATCTTCTCCAAGGAAATGTGTCCATGCACTTCGAAGATTCCGGGGTGCTTTGAACCGGATATCGCATTTAGCATGATTTCGCTCTCTCCCTCTCTCTCTCTCTCTCTCTCTTTCTGTCTGTCTGTCTGTCTCTCTCTCTCTATCTATTTGTGCAAATACATTTGCCTCCGTGTATTGTACCTCTTGTATCCTCGTGTGACTTTTGTGTTGATATTTACCATCGCAAAATGAGAACTTCCGGAAGCCCGTTGGTCTGCTCTTGCACGTGGGCTGCCCACCCCTGTCAGCACCTCTCCCCACCTGCTCTCAAGAGAAAAAAACAAAGTAGGCCAAGACTCTTGCAGGTCAAGTTGCTGGGGATCATGTTCGCTGGATGTCTTTGCGCTTCAGCGGTTTTTCCTCAACCCCCATCCGTCTTTCCCTGGGAGCCCAAAAGCCGAAATGGACATGCGGATCACGCGGTCAACTTCAACTCATTGGCCCTCTTCCGAATCACTCGCGTCGGAGCGCTCGTGTGGCCGCCACTATGGAAGTCACGAAGCGTTAAAACCACGCCTGGAACGGGATGGCGGCCCAAAACCCGAAACATGACCCCTAAACCCTTCACACACACTTCAGGCACGCGCAGCGACCAAACCGGGGGTGTCCCCGATCCGGTGGCCCGCAGAACCCGGGGGGGGCGGTGGGGCTCTTTTCGGTCAGGCGGGAAGAAGTTCAGCTCTTTCATACTGTTCCGAAGTTCAGCTATCCATTCCTATCCTAGCTGTAACAGTGGATGTTGTTCCGCAGTTGCAGGCGTGGTCCAAAAAGAGTGATGTATAATTGTTAACTGACTGGTACAGGTAGTAGGACAAACCCAACAGATTCATACATCATATACAGTACCAACAACATCCATATTTTATCCTATTGGTATCAGAACCATCTGAAATAGCAACTCAAGCAGTTGAACTTCTGCTGACCTCACGCCCAAATCCGGAATGAGTCATTACATGTCATTACCACATCAAACTGTCGAAGACCTTGGAAACCCCTCCCAACAGTGCACAGATTCCGGTGACGGGAGCAGCTTCCCGTCCATCCTGCTCCATCTCTGCCAAGCTCCTGGCTGCGAAAATGGTCTGCCTTCAGCCATGTGCCAAGAAGGATGCGAAAGCACCATCTGTCTCGTGCCAGGAACCCCGCTGATTCAAAAAGGATTCGGCAATTTCGACCATCCTTGGCTTTGACGAGGTCCAGTTATAGAGCCCTATCCATATTTGAGAGGAGACCCCAACTTCCAGGTGATACAGTGGCCGCTGTGGTGGTACACGGCATCAGTAGCAGCTCCTCGTGTGCTACCCGTGGGGGAAGGCATGGAGAAAAAGGAACACTCGACTCTTGGACATGACTTTTCTCTCCATCTCCGGGAGAGAAACACTCAACACTCATCTACACGTTTTCGATGTCGAGATGTCGACGATGAGTCAGCTTTTCCTTTCACGCCCTGAGTGATGGAGTGGAGACTGCCTTCCTCGTGTGGAGACTGGAGAGTGGCGACTCGTCCCGGCTCCTGGACGACTCCATGCTCCGGCGCACCACCTGGCGAGTCCGGACGAAGAAATCCAAACGGATCGAAGTCCCATGAGTCGAAGTACCAACGACCAGTCTTGGGATCCGAAGGTGCATCCACTGCAAGTCTTGCTGTGTCATCCAGACCGAGGCCACCCAGTTGGACGAAGGACAACACTGACAACACATCAGCCAAAGGGCCAAGCTCAGTTTTCTCCAAGATGTTTCGGCAGCTCGCCTCTTCCCTGGCCAGGCGTTCGGCATCCAAGGAGGCCTGGCCAGATGTCGTCACCGGACCAGCTCACCAACCAGGGCGGCGCGTCCTAGACGCCTGGAGATCTTGGAGTCAAACTGGGCAAAAACCGCCCAAACCTACGAAGGTAATTAGACGACTAAGGAGACTAAGGAGATGGGGTGCCCAGAAAGGTGCAGAAGTCACAGCTGCGTTCCAATACCGATCGAGGTGTCACGGCCGATCTCCGTATCCATTTCGGAATAAGACACTTGCGGTAGTGGTCTTGTGCGGTTTCTTAGGGCCCCCAGACTTAGAGTAGGCCTTGTACAAGGACTCATTGGCGGAATTGCACAAAACATGAGGGATTCACGTTTTTCCTAGAAAAGCTTGACCCTAAACACGGAGCGCTCTACATTACCCACCAACGAAGGGCCCCCGCTGGTGTGAAACCAATTCACGTGTAGACGTCCATGGATGGTAAGGATCGAAGAAGAACGTCGAAGTTGCTGAACTTCTCGGTGTTTTGTTGTTGAAGGCACATGAGGTGCCTCTCATCAGGCGCTTCTCTCTTCGCAGGCGCCCCGCCAGCGCCCTCGACCGCCTCCGCCTTGGCCCGCAAGCGCGTCTGCTCCTCCACTTGACCCTGACGTGGCAAGGAGTGCTTTGGAATGATGAATCAAACCCCCTGATATGATACCATATGCAGGTGCAACATCATTCTGGAAAGGTTGCCTTCTTAATCCGAAGCCTGCAATGTATTAATATTTTATATAATTATGCATAGATGAGGGAAAAAATAGATATTTATATATATATATAGCATATTTTTTTTTTTTTTTGTCCGGCTCTTTTGTTCCGCAGAGGTCAGCTGATCTCATGTCAGCATCGTTCGAAGATCACGATTGCCTCCAACTTGGCATGGTCGTCGAAGCTTGATGGTGAGGTTGATCTCAGTGCCATGGAAGCGAGCCCTTTGGTGGCAATGGTCGCATTCGACCAGATTGCCGCTGCGGGTCATCTTGTGTGTCGGATGACCCTGCCAGTCCCGGCTGCTGAGTGGTCCATGGTGACAGATTTCGCCCAAGAAGCGAGAGAAGATGTCCTCGCCAGCCCTGGCCAACACGTAGCTCCGACACTTGGTGCACCGCAGGTATGCTTTGTCTAAGCGGAAGTGGTGCATGTCTGGCTTTGGCTCTCCTTGGCTTTCGATGAGATCATGTATGACCTCAAAGCGAGTCTTGCGCTCCTTCTTTGCTGGTCCGGCCGCAGCACAAGGCATGGCTTTGGCTTGTTGGAGTTCTTTGATGAGGGATTTCGTGTGCAGCCGTTGCTTGCACAGCTGACATTGTACTCCTGATCTGAAAGGGGCCCATTGATGGCCATTGCAATGCGGTTCTTGAAGGTATTCCGCCAAAAGAGACTTCTTTTGCTGGACCATGGGGATCTTGACATTGTCTGACCTAGGGTCTTTGGCATGGAGGAAGTGATCCTTGTTCCTCAGCAGGATGTCCATTCTGGTGCCTGCGACGCTGAGAACATCTCGGGTGTCTTCATCGATATGCCGCTGGAGGTCCAAGATGTCCTCTGGTTTTGCCAAAAGGGCAGTCTGATCTGCCTTGGCCTGAGTGTCTTTCTGAAAGGCTTTCCTGTTCTGGTTGGAGTCCATCTCCTTTTTGTCGAAGAGCAGAAGCTTAACTTGATCAAAGTCTTCATGTTCGAGGCCCTGACTGAGATCCGGGAAGGCTTCGTGCGCTGCCATAAAGGCCCAGTGTTTCCAAATGGAGTGCTGGAAGACAGCCACATGGACTTGGTCTCGAATGTGGAGAGACAAATGCTTGAGGCCATAGAAGAGGGCTCTCAACCTCGTGGCCTTGCCAGGACAAATGCCGGTGAGGGCTCCCACTCTTTCTCTGGTGAAAACCTGATGGATGCAAAGGGCGAAGACATATCGTCTGTGCCGAGGGTCCCTGGAGGTTGGTGCAATCGCAATTGACACTGCATGACCTGCAGGAAGATTGCAGGCTTCCAGTTGTGCCCAAAGCCCTTCGCCATTGAAGGTGGCCATGCCTCCATCAGGGATGTAGAAGATCGATTGTGTCATGCCCCGGTTCCAGAGTTCAGGCTCTGTGTTGGCTTGGATGCGCTCCTTCCATTGTGCCGGAATGTCTCGTACTCGGCCCTGCCAAAAGCTGCACTCCCAAAGGAGGTGAGTGAAGGTGAGCTCAACTCCACAGAGGGGGCATTGGCCTTCTTGCCCGTGCAGTGTACCTTGGTGCAAAGCCCGAATGCCTGTAGCTACTTTGTCAGAGGTCATCTTCTGGAGAGTTCTGCTGACCGTCCAGTCTAACTTCCTCTCCAGGTCGTGGCAGCCCGTGTGCCTGGTGAGGCGAAGGAGGCGTTGCCACTGAAATTCCTCATAGAGCTTATGTTGGATCTCCGGCCACAGCGCTTCAAGGCAGATGAGACAGTCAGGGATGCCTCCATAGCCTGTTCTCTTCCATTGTTTGCCATTGGATAGGTCGAAGTCGTAGTCCAGCAGGTAGGCCTGAAGGGCTTGCAGAGGCCCAGTGACCACCTGCCACCGGTATTTGGCCTTCAAGAGCAGGTCCAAAGCGGAGTTCCAACTGATCCAGAACAGGTTGCGGGCTCCTTCATCAAAAGAGTGAAGGACTCTCCAGACCGTGTGAACGTGTTGTAGGATGATGGAATCGCCAGGGTCACATTTGTCTGGATGCATGTCAAAGACCACGTCAACTGATCCAGTGCGTTGGAGGCCTAGGCCCCTGGCAGCCATGACCCTGAGTTGTTGTCGCCTTTGGGGAGCCAAACCGTTGGCTTGAGCCCCCCATGACATCACAGGATGTATGGCTCCACGATGAAGGCGATACTTGGTGGTGTTGGCCAGCTTGAGGCGTAACATGATGCCAGCTCTGCCCCTTCCCTTCAGGAATCGTTTCTTGATCTGGGAGATCCTTCTGCGACGGGAGTTTGTGGCATCAATGCCGAGGTCTCTCAAGACGTTGTGATGTTGAGGGTCGTTTTCTTTGAGCAGAGCATCCAAAGCCTTTGCAGACTCCTTGCTGCTGGTGATAAAGCCCGTCTTGTCGTTGTTCAAGGAGAGCCCTGCTGCTGTCAGGTGGTGTTGGAGAGTCCTGAAGGCTAGAACTGCTTCTCTTGCAGCGTAGTCAGGGTCAGTACCTTTGATGTCAAATGAGACGTCATCAACCCAAGTCTGAAGGAGCACGGCCGGGTGTTCCTGAACCAGAGAGCGGAGCGGCTTGTAGAGCACCAGCTTGGCAATGGCCGGAGCTTGGGGGCAGCCTTGGAGGATACCCTTCTGGTAGTAGCGGGGTTGACCCGCGATGCCCTCGGCTTGAATGAGGCGCGGACCCGTGTAAAGGTCCAGAGCAAGCTTCAAGTGGAGGGGAGGGTAGTTCAACTCCTGGGCCGGCTCGATGAGATGGTCCAGTTGGACGTTGTCGTAAAAGCAAGTGAGATCTGCCAGGCAAGTGACCGTGTGGATGCCTTGGTGCTTGCCAATCTCGGCTTTGAGCATTCGCCCGACCGCGATGCTGAGACAATCTTTGTGCGGTCTGGCATGATCCCAGGGCATGTCTTCGTCCAATCCCAATTGCCATCGTTGAAGTTCGTACTTCCGATAGGAGTTCCACAAGCGGTACAGGCAGGAGGTGAGGGCAATAGGTCTCTCGATCCTCTCATTCTTTGGGATCATGACAATGTTGGTGTGACGGAGCTGAAGTGGAAGCTCCGCCTCCTGTTCCATCTCTCGAAGAAGTTGAGTGAGCTTCTCCACAGCAGGGTATGGCAAATGACGAAGAAAGTCATAGGAGAGTCCGTCAGGCCCAGCCGCCTTGTTGGGGAGCTTGCGCATGATTTTCTGCAAGAGGCTGGAATCTATGCTCTTCCATTGGAGAGCTTGGGCCTGTGCTTGCCTTCGTAGCTCTTGAATGCCTCTGACCGGCAGTGGACCTTCGAGAGGAATCCAGATGGATCCCCATTGCTGCTCTCTGGCTTCTGTCCTTTGAGTGGAAGGCAAGGACTGGAAGGGTCGCTGCCAGGCGTGGTCTTTCTGTCTCAAACTTCGGAAAAGGCCGCGAAGTCCTTTGTCATGTGCCTTCTCCAGCCACTCGCGGAACTCATGATTGGTGGCACTCATCATCTGCGCTTGGGCCAAATCTTGTTCATGATGGATGATCTGCTGCAATTGTTCTGGAAGAGGATGGCCTCCGAAGATCCATTTGAGGAGTTGCTCTTCAAAGTGTGGTTGATCAAGTTCTTTGGAGGCATGTTGCGGGATTCTTTGGAGCATGTCCTTCAAGTCTTGGAGAATGCCCGGATACCGGCCATGTGCCGCTAGGTTGAGGCGAGCTCCAAACTTCTCCCAAAAGGCGGCACTTCCTTTTTTCCACACACGTGGTTTGGTGGAGCTGGCCAGAGGGGCTTGAAGGAGGGAGATCCGAGAGCCTCGTCCTGTGATCGGTTTGTGCAGTCCTTGAGTGAGGTACTTCTCCGTCTGAGTGGCCCACCTTGCAAGATCAGAGCCAAGGCCAGTAATGGTTTGCCCCAGGATCTCAAAGGGTCCATCATCCTCAGTGAAGGAGGACCAGTGGTGCTGCGGGTTGTAGATGCGAGAGATCGGAGGAAACCTCTGCAGCTGCTGCACAGGGAGTGCAGCATGATTGCAGTCCAGTTGCAGGGCCAGGGCACAATGTGGCTTCCAAGGAACTTCCCAGTTCGCTTCTAGCCTCAAAGCCCCTGCAATGGCGGTGGAGGCAAGAAGGAAATCAAGGTGGCTGCCCTGTAGGGTGGTCGGTCCGGGCGTGGCAACGATTTGGGCCCGAAATTTGCTAGGGATGTTGGTGGCCGCCAAATCCTCCGGTGAAGCTTGCCAGTCCCCACCAACAATGAAGGGAGCCCTCAAGTGATCGAGGAATTGGAGCAGCTGGCCAAGTAGTTCTGCATTGAGAGGCGATTGCAGCGTTTCACCAGTGCGAAGATAAAGCTGGATGAGGTAGATCTGGATCCCTTCTCTCTGCATGGCCAAAGCCGTCCACCCATTACCTTGCTTGACGTAGGTGTGGACGTGATGTATGAGGTGTCTGGCAGCGTGGATGGTGAGGAAGCCTCCAGTGGAGCCGCCATTGCCAGTGGGTTCAGCTGCTACCCCATGCACCTTCCACCCCCTGCAGGAGAAGTATTGGAGCGCAGTGTCAAGGGCTTTCTGTTGAAGGTGAGTTTCCTGGAACATCATGATGGTGTCTCCTTGCCCCCAAGCCCAGTCTTGAACCTTCTTGCCAAAGAAAGTGACGTTGCTGAAGGAAATGGATAAGGTCTCCTGTGAGGTTCGAGCTCGTTTGGGTTGCGCTGCAGTCATCTCTATGGCCGTGTCTGTGACCACTTCGTCAGTGGGAGAGGCCACCAGCCATATTTGGGAGATTTCCTTGGCCTGTTGAGTGGACAGGTGGGGCAGTGGTGTCGGAAAGCTGTTGTCATCAGCGAGCCAGTAGACATTGTCCATCGCCAAGATGGCTTGATAATGTCCGTTCTCATGGGTGACTCCTTGGTGCAAGACCAGGGCGATGACCTGGTAGGCCGCATAGTGCACATTGACCCCATCCTCGGAAGAAGGGATGTTGACCCTTGTGGGAAGGTCCAGCTCTCTGTGGTGCTTGGTCCATGTTCCATCCTGCAAGGTGGATCTTTGAAGGTTGATGACCAAACCTCCCGGGGATCCGTACAGGAATTGTCCATTGCCCTCATCAGCCCAGAGATTGACAAGTTGGTCCAAGGTGATGGGACCTGATCCATCTGGGAAGATCATGTTGAGAGGGAATTGATCACGCTCTTCGGTATGACCTCTTTCGCTTCTGTGGAAGAAGCGTCCAGCGAAGAAGGTGCTGCCTGAGTAGGTCCACAAAGCGTGCAGGAAGTCAACAGCGTCAGCTTGCTCTTCCTGGTTGACCTGGGGCCAGATGTGGACCATGTTATGCAAGCCGGCCAGCTTCTGTGGTTCAGTGTCGGACAGGAATTGCCGAGCGGCTGGTTGAGTTCGGCCCCATGCCTGTGTTGGGTCCTCAGCATAGGCACCAGCCCAGCACCAACAGCGCCATGGAGCATTGGCATAGCACATGTTTCGGTTGTTCTGCAAGATGCTGGTCAAGCACTGCGAAACAATGTAGATGTTGGCAACTGAGTGCTCCAATTCCCCTGGAACACGGTGATGCAGTTGCACAAGATTCTGCATGCGTCGAAGGTCCATGAGGAACTGTTGACCTCGATGGAGAGTTGGATTGCGACCATAATTTTGACACGAAGTGAGCATGTCTTTGGTGCATGAGTCAAAAAGAGCTCGCTGTTCAAAAGTCAGAAAGTCATCATCAACTTCCATGTTGAGAATTTTGGCCAAGGACAGAATCGCTGAGGTCCCGTAAGAAACAGACCCACCAGGGGTCTGTTCTGAGGTAGAAAAACACGGTGCCTCAGGAGTCTGTCCAGCCAGAGGCGCTGCACTGTGCAGCGCTCCCCCCAGCACCTTGATAGAGGTCAAGGTGCGCCGATACGGCCCATAGCCCGAAAAGGTGGAGCGGCCCGAGCTTGAGCCTGAAAGCAAAGAAGCATCAACCAAAGGTGCATTTCCCCTGCAAGTTGGTTGAGAAAGTCCCATGTCATGAGTCAAAGGCCATGACTGAAGTTCCCCGTGAGAAAGTGAAAAAGAGGGCCGCAAGCTGTCAAAGGGGCTACCCACAAGATCCTTGGTTGCCCGCTTCTGTCTTGCGTCGTTTCGACTCTTCGTCCATGCTCTCATCTTCTGAAGAAGGACGTTTGAGCATCGAGTGGAGTTGCTCCTTTTGCTCCGGCGTCAGGTTGACTCCAAGGGTATGAATGAAACCAGCTACTGCCTCTGGGACTGAGTCTTTGACCTCGGTGTCCAGAGGCTGCAAGGGCTTGTCCCCTTGTGTGGAGCTGACCTTGGTGAGATACGCCGTGCTGATGGTGTTCAAGGAAGATTGTTCTTGCTCTAGCCTGGTTTGAAGTGTCTTCATCTCTTCAAGAAGATCTTGATAATGCTTCTTGGTGTTGTCGATCTTGAGCTGCAGCTGCTGCTTCTTCTGAGAGATGTCCCGGAGGGTAGTCACCTGCTGTTTGAGTCGGGCTGCCATGTCCTTTTCAGTCTCCGGTTGCGGCTTGGTGATGCGTTCAACAAGTTCTTTGACCGGAGCAGGAAGACTGGCTAGATTTTCCTTGAGGACATCTGTCAAATCGGGCTCATTGGGCTTCGGAGCCGGGTTGATGCCAAGTTCAACGAGCTTGGATCGCATGTTTTCGTCCATGGTGCTCCAGGCAGGTGCCAGGATTTCTGAAGCCGTTTTCTGCAGCTTGGTAGGTCGTGGAGTCCTGCTGACGGGAATGCCTGGTGGTGGAGAGACCCGTCTCCTTGGTTGCTGCCAACTTGTCACCTTGCGCTCAGCTGGCTTTGCATAGCCCTGTGAAGGTCTCGTCCAGGGTGTAGAGCACTTGCGGCATGTGAAGTTGGGCTGAATCTTGTCCTCCCAAATCCAGTTAGAACAGCTTGGGGAACTGCAGCATTGATATGCTCTGCACTGCCAGCCCATGAGAACGTGCCGGGTCACCGTGCTCAGAGACAAGGGCGGTGTGCTGGAGGACGCGTAGGAAGAGAGTAGCCCCAGTGCCGTCGTTGGTCAAAGGGCCCTGTGCCCAGGCTTGAGCAGAAACCTTGAGCCATATATAGCATAATTACGTATGCAGTAAATAAGTATATATATATATATCTAGTGACTCCATCACAATCCACCCCCTATAATCTCAAAACATCAAAACCACCCCTCAGAAATACTCGTGGCAAAGGACCCATGGAGCAAGTACGAAGCAAAGAGACCCAGCGAACCTTCTTTTCCATAAGGCAGGTAGATTCAAGGAAAAACACTTCCACAAAGATTCAAGATTGGGCCATGAGACTTGGAAAAGTATCCCTCCACAACAGAGCTCCCATCCTTCCAGCAAACAGACTTGCTCTTAGGAAAGGCTGATAACCCTGGATCAGGCGTGCAGTCGAGAAACTCGAAGACGGGGTCGGCGGTGGTTGAAAGATGGTGTAGAAGGGTTCCCGTCACCCTGGATCATTTCAGTGTGGCATGTATCAAATCATGTCGGCAACCTGCATTGACGTCTCGAACACTTCAAAGCAATCCTGGGCGAATTGAATTTGGAGCACGTCACAGTAATAATCAAATCAACAATAGTAACAATAATAAGAATAATAAGCACATATTTTAAAAATATTTGTACAACAATAGTGCTTCATACAGAGTGTGTATGTACCTGGTTGACCACCGAAGATCAACAGAATAGACCACCGAGGGATTTCAATCTACAGGGATTGGGGTTGTGACCCGTAGCCATATCTCTGTGTGTGCTATGTTTTCTATATTATACTTATTTGTTGTCCTTTTTATGCTGATCATTCATTGCCTCACTGGGTCGTCCATGGGTGCCTCACTTCATGGGAGCGGAGCACATCTCGCCCCACGGGCTCCCCCCAAGGGCACCTTCAGCCGGGCCGCTTCCTTCAACGAGGAGTCCAATTCCTGGCGGCTTCGGACGCGCAGAGCGAGGGACGTGGCAGAACGGTGACAACCGGTGTGAACACGACTGGTGCAGAAGTTGAAGCAACTGCGGTTTGGGGAAGTGGCAGTTGACGAAGCCGCAAAAACATCTGGTATCTGAGTGTGGCCTCTTGCGTAAGATTGAACCTGTCGAACCCGTCTACAAATGTAAAAGTATACATATTACATATGTATATATATATATGTGTGTGTGTGCATTAATTAGGCTACATTTTTTGGAACATTGTGAACCCATCTGTTTATCTAGGTCATTAGGACCAGCCTCGAGCAAGTTAACACTCTGAACATCAACTCTCGCAGGGCTGTGCCACAAATCTCTCCTAAGCGGCGCCGGTCTCTCCCACCTGTTGAAGGTCTTCTCTCTGGGCCTCCAGCGCCTGAAGCCTCAGGAAGATCCAAAAGCCAAACGAAAGTCGGGGCCGCCCAGGGCATCCCAGAAATGATGCAAGCATAGACCCCTAACCAGTTGCAGTATGTTGCAGTAGTATGTGCTTCAGTTTCAGTACACTGTTTGGGAACCAACGGACCGCTCTTGGGGGGCGACCGTTTGGAAGCCATGGCGGCTCGACTCGGCGACCGACCGGATCTTCAAACGCAGAGGTGGAATGATCCGAACGTTCGACATCAACCTATAGACAGAGGTTGAAACCGACCAACAGAGGTTGAAGAACCCTTTGTTGACATCTATAGACTATCCCAGTTCGGTACCCTTCACCAGGGTCCTATGAAACCGGTCACTTCACTGAACCTCTCTTGTCAGGTCTGGTGGGAACCATAGGGAGACCTCCCAGGCGTCCCGACCCGCTCGATGGGGTTCGGAACGACCAGTCTACCCAGTCTACCGGGCCATTGGGGTGTCGTCCCGGAGCCAATCAGGTCTCGACTTGAAGAGCACCCGGCGTTTCTCACAAGCCATGAACACCGCGGATGTGGGGCATCCAAACCCGCCAAAACACGCACCGCTGAAACCACCGGGTGCATCGCTCCACTCGCTGATCGGTCACCAGAACTGGGAGCTCCAGCTGCATCTGAAGCGGCGGTGACGCCGTGGACCGCGGCGCCTGGAAAACCCCAAACGAACAGGCTTGTAAATCGGGAGGAGAAAGGGACCAAGGGAGCAGCAGCTGTGTTAGAGCACATGCCAGACGCGGACGCAGAAGAGATGTTCATATCAATCCGATGGAGATCATGAGATCATCACGACGTTCAACACTTCAACATCGCGATGCTTGTCAAGAGCACTGGTTCGGCACCCGTGTCCCCCACGTCCACTCTTCGGGAGAGCCCCAAGTCCTATAGGTGCAACGTGGTGCAATGCTGGTTAAGTCGGATTACTGTATTAGTATATATATATATATACACTCCCAAAAACGAATGGACCCTAAGAATGGCACCCTGAAAGATGGATTTTCCTTTACAAACCAGTGGTTTTACGATGTTTTACGGTCCATGTGAGTTTTCGGCCGTGTACTTTGATTGTCCGTGGCTGGCCCGGTTGGAAAACCAATCCGGCATACGGATGGCAAATGATCGCTAGTAGGTTGGAGGCCATCGCTAGTAGACATCGCTAGTTGGAGCAATGGTCCATTCTGTGGCCCTCACGGTTCGCCGTTACGATCCGCACCCCACCTCCATCTCCGTCCTCGACGCGGGGGGGGCACCAAAATCACACAGAACAAGCAGGACGTGGCACTGGGTACCAAAACCAGCTGCAAGATAGTAAAACAAAGCAGCGGTTGCCTGAACCACCCCCTTCAGAAGACTGTTCCATCATGTTCCATCCATCTATCAGTTGAAGTTCTTGGATGGAATTCCTGATATGGACGGGGCCTGATTCTTTCATGAACTGTCGTACTTGACTTGCCTGCTTCAACTCTTGTACTTACTTCTGGTGTCGGTTCTGGGATGATGCTCCACACGGTGACAAAGCATTCAGATCGTACAGTTTGCGGGCAAGTGTGTCGCGCTGCAACTGCGTGTTTGGAGTTGCATAACGGATGGTGGAAAAGGCCTCCAGTGAGCACGTTAGCCCATCGTCTCACTGTCATACACTTTGGTGCCAAGTGCGTTGGCCCCAAACGCCCAGACATGAGGGCTGTCGTGGTCGAAACAGCACGAATCAACCTCCGGTAGCCCTTCAATGGTCCACAACCCCGCGCCAGAGTCTCTTGCTGGGTAGGGCTGGAAGTGGGAGATAAGCAATGACATGATGGCCATCCCGAAAGCAATGATCTTGGAGATCGAACACTGGACCCCCTTGATTGCCACCCTCAACCCTCTTCAAAACTGCAGGATCGCCAGCATCGAGTTCATTAGATAAACATCTTGCGCCTCAGAAGCTTTGAACTATCCAAGTCAGACGACCCGGTCAGAACACCGTCTCTCCGTTGGTCTTCGCTGCCGGACCCATCCCAAACCGCCCCGGAGACGGACCCAAACCACTGCTGCTTCTCCTGGCTCCCTCCGCGCTGCGGCGGACCACCTGCCCGGTCGGGCGTGGTGAAGGGTGAAAGCTCCTAAGGGGCTGAAACAGCCGGACGGTACGGGACCTGCAGTCCGCAGCATCAAGGATCATGAAGTCAGCCGGACCAGCCCAAAACCCCATCAAAGGGATTGCCCCGCCAGCAATTCCGAGCAGGTGCAAGCAGTTTTCCACCAGCGGCTGCTCGGACGCCCCTGGCGTCAGCCGCGCCGACCCCGCCTCCTCGCGCGCCAGGCGTTCCGCATCCAGAGAGGCCTCGCAGAGGTGGAGTGGAACCCGAGTCCCGAGACCCACATGGAACCGGGCGACCCGCATGGACCAGACTGGAAGCCGATGTTCCTCTACGTTTTCAGGTTCGGTTCTATGTTCATTTTCCAGGGTGTACTGGTTCCAGTGTTGGAGGAATCCTGCAACACCTGGGCTGCAATCCGACCACTTGCAAATCGCGGGACGTCCTCGTGACGTCCGAGCGTCTTTGAGGTGGTACGGAGGGTGACGAACCGTCCGTTCATCGCGGTGACGAACGAAGCTGCCCTTCCTCATGGCACTGCAGGACCTAAGACGTACGTGACCTCTGCCAGTTGACCTTTGAGTGACCTCTGCCAGGCCTGTTACCGAAAATCCTGCGATCTCAAGGACGGTCACGTACGGAAGGTCTCCGTTCGGTGGTTGGGCACTCCACGGATGCCTCCTTGGTCGTGGGGCTTCCCGCCCAAAGTGTCAACTGTATACATAGAAGGGTGGGCTGATCCGATCCTGTCATCGTGCACATATACACCCCCGAAAACTAACATAGACCCCGACAATGGTAACCTGGAAGATTGCTTTCCTCTGCCCACCGACGTGGTTTTCAGGGTCCATGTTCCGGGTAAATCGGGCGTGTACGATTCGGACGACACTCGATCCCTTTTCAACTACCGCATGCCACGCCCCCACCACGATTCTGTCGTCCACGTCGAAGGGGCGCTGGAACCTGCCTCTGCCTTGGCCCGAAGCCGTGATTGCTCCTCGGCTTGCGCCTGCCAGCGCGGGCACGCGGCAAAACGCGTGCGTGGGACTCGTGGGAGGAAGCGCCCAAGATGAGAAAACGCGCGTTCCGGTGTTCCATCACAATGTTGACAAAGCCTACTAGGTTGCAAAGGGCCTTTGCAAGTATATAATATACAGCATGTAAATCATTATAAATCTAATTAAACCTGTATGCATGTGGACCTGCCCCCAAAATTGGATTGGGCTTTACCCCGCCCGCCCCACCCACCACAGGGGTCTTGCGGTCCGTGTCCAACTCGGACGTCCAAATGCTTCGATGTGATCTGCACCGAGCAACTTCCCACCTTCAGCCTGGCCACCTCCTTCATCGAGTCTTCCAACTCCTGGCTTCGTCGCGGTGGTGTTCAGGTCGCTTCAGGGGGGCCGGGGAGCGGGCGGTGCAGGTCCCTTCAACCCCCCGTCCCCCGCTTGAAAACGGCGTGACCTCATGCAAACGAGGCGTTCAGAGGTCCCGGCCAGCATCCCCGGCCAGCCTTCCTGAAACTTGCTCAGAATTGGTTCTAAGTTCTAATCGGTTTCGTGGCAAACTCCTTTCGCAACATTATTCGTAGCTTGCGTTTTGGCTTTCGCGCACTGCATTCTGCGCAAAACCACGTTCGCAAGCTTTCGCGTGAAGAGTTCGCAGAGTTCTTCGCGAATCTTGGGCGATCCGCGTGACTACCTTTCGCAAAGGCATCTTCCATTGTCCTCTCTAATTGTTGCATGGGGAAGTTGTTTGACAAGCTACCCGGATCTTCCCAACCCGCTAGGAAAGTGGTTGGTTCGTTGATTGTGGCCATCCCCTTCCCATCGTCCACGATTAGGATACAACCGCACCTGAAGGCATCCACCCTATCCTTCAGACGTCCCACCAACATGTGGATAGCTGAATGGAACTGACTTGATTGAACCACCTAGAACCCATTTGACCTCCTTTCTGACAGGCAATCTCCTCCAAAATGTGGGGTCACTCAGGTTCTAGGTCAATATATTCCGTTAGATCACATCCAACGGCTGAAGCCGTGCGCCTGCTGAAGATCCTCCTTCTCGGCGGACACGGCCTGAAGCCTGGTCGACCCGAGTGGCACTTGTATGGAAAAACGTCAGGATGACCAAATTGACATATATTGAAATGAAAGATGGCCGAAGATGGTCCACCAAGCATGGAGAGTTGAAACAATAATGATTCCACATTGATGTCCTCCGAAACCCTGCACGCAGGAGTTAAAAGTTGGAAAGCAAATGAAAGTAGAAACTCTTCCTACCACCCATGGTCAAGGACACCCCTTTGAAGAGACAAGTGTCGAAAACCCCGTCACCGCGTCGCAAGCGACAACCAGTTCGACCATCCATTGACATCCATAGCCGCAAATGTGTGTTGGTGTGTAGGGCGTGGACCAGAGTGGAAGGCAAAGACAGAACCACTCTGACATACTTTGACCCATATATAATATATATATAGTTATATATATATATATACTGTATCCAAGATGATCCTTTCCATTAACCCCTCTCCTCTGGCCACGGGAACGATCGGGAACGGACACGGGTATCCCCACTGGAGCTGCGCGGCGGCCTCGGAAGCCTGGGGGCGAAAGGATCGGTTGGGGTGGTTGATGGACACGCCTTCACCTCTCTACAGGGCTAATTCATAGACACCGCGTGTCCTGACAGGATTTACGGAATTAGGTGTGGATTTAGCTACAGGATGTCTATTTTGACACGGATCTTGCGAGGGGATTTACTGTTCGTCTAGTCTATTTATGTGGTGGAGAGAGTATGGGCCAGAGTGTTTTCATGGAGAGTGACGGGCCCTGTTAGTGAAGGGTTAGGCTGGTTAGCTGATGGTCGTGCTAGGCTACGTAGCTAGTCGATTGATGCGCATCCTAGGTGCCCCACACGCCTGCAATCCTGTTTTCATACTGCATCATACTGCATCACTCATCCGTCTGATCTTGCTGCGGCCACTCACACAACTGCACATCCTCCCCATCCCACGGCGCCACCTTGGGTGCGTCTTGGGCAGCCAAGAGTCGTGCCTCCGCCTAAGCAATGGCAAGGAAAAGCATCCCTTCCAAGAAGGGTTCATCTTTGTAGCTGCTTGAATGACTGCCATACAGGAAACTCTGTCAAGCCTATCTGCTGTGCGATCGAATTTGTAGCCCTGTAGCTCAGGTCCAGTTCAGTCCTTCATTGTAGTATTGCGCTTCTTTCTGATATTGCTGTGGCCTAGGTGGTGCGGGATTAATCCATCAACGGTGAGAATGGCATCCACCAGCATCTCACCCCCACCTCTTCACGTGCTTGCTGCTCTGCGCGCAAGGCCTCCTAGCGCATGCACGGACGCGGCCCGCGGGCCCCCACGGGCTACGTCTTCCTGCCAATCCCTTCGAATCCCTTGAAACGCGGATCTTCCACAAGCCTGACAGCACATACCCTTCAGGGCGCCATCGCGTCCGTTTGGGGTCGCTCAACGAAGCGTCCGTTTGGGGATGTTGGGAGGTTTCACCCCGTTGAAACAGCACCCCGTTTTCGTGCAACCACTCGCCATATTTCGCCAAAATCGCTTCAGCAACGGTCCACGAGTTGGACCCTGACCTGGACCCCGACCTGCCGACTTCTTGACCATCACATGCTGAAGGTTTGAAAAACACATCCGCAAATGTGAGCATGATGATGTGAATAACCTCCACCTATTGTGCCGCGAGGTAAAAGGACAGTTATCTATATACATGGGGTGGGCAGCGAACAATCCGCATTTTCACCTGGTCTAGGGATGCCCTATTCAGAATCGGCACCCGCTCTCAAATTATTTGACCTGACACGATGTTCCTCCGCGAAAAACCGTGGATGGCGTGGAGACCGCTCAGCGTCAGAACGGAGCTTTGGGTCTGCAAAAGGCGCCTCCGCTCGCGCGCGCAGCTCATGCTGCATTTTGAGGTTCCCCTGCCAGGCGGAATGAACCAGCGAACCGGATCCCAAGCAGGTTGGACCCTCCCTTGGTGCATCCACCGGTTTTCCGCGCACTAACAGGTGGATGCTACTCGTGGATCGAATGAGAGGAGTGGTGCAAGTGGCGCCCGCGAAGAGGATTCGATGGATTCGATGCCAAGTGGAGTGGTCCAGAAGCGCAGATCGGGATGGGCTGGGATGGCCTCCCAGACCAGGCCATAGCCTCCCAAAACCCTACCAGGACCCTCTATGCGAGGTCTGCAACGCGTCCAGTGGGATCGACGGATCCAGTGGGATCGACGTTCACAAAGTGAAATGCTCCAGGAACTACACTCCAACAAACATCACATGGAACTGGACGCCGCCCTGTTCGTGAAAGGAACATCATCCATGCCATCCACGTAACATCCCTAAGGTATAGTTCCCCTGCAGGGGGAACTGAGAGCCCCTTCATAGATATAAAATGGCTTCGGCTAACCTGCAGGCTGCAGGGGGATATCACTTGACATCCCTGACCTTAGCCATGAAACGGTGACCTGACCCGTGCCTGGCCTCAGTTTACACAGCTGCAGTGATGGAAGAACGAGTTTGTCCCCTCGCCAGATCTCATGACCATTCTGGTACGTGGTTTCTATCATCTTCCATCCATCATCCCCAAATATCCTCAAAGCAGCTGTGCTGATCATTGATGAAATTCAATCATCTCCCTGCTGCTTTATTTTGCTCTATACTATACTGCCATCATCTGAGGGTGATGATGCCATGGGTTTGCTTCTGAATTATGAGAAATGACAGCGGTTGGAATAGAAGAAATGACAAAAACACCCTCGACATCCATGTTCTCTCTATAAATCAAACCCTGACGTTTCGTGGGGGAAGACATAAATCGTTTTATAAAGTACGTTGGCCCGCTCCATGTTAGATGGAAAACCGCCATGGCGATCATAACCATGTAATGTCTTCGGAGACTGCCTGTTTCGGCCGCCTTCTCGTGAAGATGTCCTCTTCATGGCGCACATAAACGCCTCTTTCATCCCACCAAAACAAGTTAACTCCTACTCCTCCGACGGCGAGGCGACCCCCGCGATCCCAAAACACGACCCTTGTCCCTTGTGCTATCGAACTCGGCGACCTGCGGCCCCACCGCGACTCGCCCGCCTGGACTTCAGCCACCGAGACCGCCAGCTCGCCCAGCTCCTCGCACCAAAGCTCCGGGTGGAACCCATCCGATGCTCAACGTCTCGTTTTTCATGCCGGGATCTGCCGGGCAGAAGAAGGGACTCCGAAAGTCGAACGGAATGGCCGGGTAGGGGGTCCATCTCAAGTCCGACTGCATGTCAGACTGGCTAGACCCTGGCAAAAGCCCTCAAGAGAACCCGATTTCACGATGGGAAGCCCAGCCAGGCCCTCACTTCATCACAGGGCCTTCTCAAGCTCCGCCTTTTCCCGGGTGAGCTCTTGACACCTGCCGAGTTCGGTAAAGACCGACTCGCCATGCACCCGGACCGATGGTGGGTGATGGAACAACCTTTGGTGACCCGTACCCTACCACAACAGAAGGAACATCACACACCAAGAGAGGTAGCCAGTGACCGTAAATAAGACCTTACTGGGGTACCTATGGGATAGGCTATAGGGTCCTTCAACCTCTGTTTGCACGTTTTTGTAGGACAAAAACCACAGGTCGCCCTACACCGCCGCTGCCAGGCCTCGCCGCCTCACCGCCAGCCTCCTCCGAGCCGGCGGCTCGCTCGAGCAGTTGGCACAACACAAGGGACGTGCGGAAAACAATGGAAAACCAGCGTGGGCACGGAGTCCAAGGGAAAAGGACCACACATCTATACACATCTACGTAGATGTGCGTAGGCGTGCCCATCTGTTCACATTGATTGTGTAGTAACCCGCCTGCTTCCTGAAGCCTGCGGGTGAACCCGAACGACACTACCAAGGGCTTTCCCGGGGCGTCCGTCCGCACCTGGACACCGTCAGATGTGATTTGATGGACGCTGCCTCTCCAGATGTTGGTCACTTTTTTGGGGCGGGCTGCTGGACCCTGACCATCTGCTGGGTCAGCTGGGCACAGGACCACCAGAAACCGAATCAGTTCGATCGATGTCCACCTGACGGGATCGGGGCTCCCAGTCCACCGACCCAGAACCTCCCGCTGAGCTCGGGGAAAAAGAAAAAGCAACCTTTGCCCCGTAGGCCTTAGGTATTGAGGAGCTATTTCACAAGACACACTCAACATGAATACCAGAATCGGCCCATGAATTGGCCAAAACCAACATGAGTTCAACCCTGGTTGGACCGCGGTGGCCCAGCTGTTTGTGATCTCCAGTGACCTCGTATGATGTTGACCTCACAAGCTTAGCGGCCCGCCCCCCCAAACCCAGGGCCCAACCTCTTCCGCTGCAAGGCGCTCCTGGTGAAACGCACGAAAAGGTCAAGAAGTTGAACTCTTAGTGCCCTCCCATCAAACCTCACCTTTGTGAAGTCGGGATGGCTGACGTGAGGTCTAAAGGCACGAGACGACCAAAACTCCCATGAGATGGTTAGGGTCAGAGTCATCTATATAGTACAGTTATATATGACTTGAAATCCAACTCAAGCCAACAAGCGCCGCTTGTCTTGCCCAGTCTCCAACCCCAACCCTTCCTTTCGCCCCCTTTAGAAAAGCACCGGTGTCCTCGAGGTCTTTGACTTGAGATGTCAGGGTCTCCACCAACCTGACGGCCGACGGTCGTGCCGGCTTAGCCGGTCGCACCGGCTTAGCCGGTCGGCCGGTTGGCCGCGACCGGTCGCCGTGGGAAAATGAGTTGCGGCCGAGTTGGAGGATGGATATAAAGGGACTATATACTGCAACCCCAATACCAGAATAGCTTTACGTCTCCATATGAGGGTGGTCCATTGATCAACCGTCAACAATAGGTCGAAGAAGAGTCAAGACCTCTGAAACCCATGATTCCTGTTTTAACTATGCCTGTTACACGTTGAGGGCAGCCCTCACAAACCCACATCACATCACCTTGGCTCTCGCACACTTGAAGCTCACCATTCTCCTCGAGGGCAAGGCTAAGCCGCCTGCGCTGGATGCCCGAAGGCCGAAACGCGGAACGACGCCAACCCTGAACTTTCTGGTCTAAACAGCGACCAGAGTGGTACCTCCACTGAGGGTCACCTTGACTGAAGCGGACTGCAAACAAGACTCGCAAAGGAAAAGGCCGGTGACGTACTCTTCGGCCACTCGACCACCAGAAGAGTGAATTGAGTGCCTCTCGTCCTCCAGCTTGTCAGTCACCGCCCGCTCAGTCGCCGCCTGGGCCGTCGGCCCTCACCCACAAAAAGCTCAATGGGATTACCATCAAGGGTGAGCCAGTTTAAACGGAGAAAGCAGGCAAAAGACCTGGGAGTTCTATCTTCATCACTTTTGGGCGGAGAAAAGGGACGAACAACTGCAGGGTGAAGGCAGCTCCCCGCTTGATGCCATTTCTGCGCACAGCGAACGAGGAGACCAATCTGATCTGCGGACAGCACAACATGCTTCAAGCGTCTTCCGTCAAGTTGCAACGAGAGTTTGTTGTCAAGGCTGGCTGACGATGGGAATGCGCACGGGACCTCACAATCCACAAAATGCGTAGTCCAACCCTCAGAAAAAAAACCCTCCTGCCGTCTAGTCACATGTTTGGAGCTTCTTGACCTTCGAATCCCACACTTTGGACTTCCAAAACCCGGCCACCGCCAGCCCATGGCCCGACCCCAACCCCCCTGGCGCCAAAACCTGGAAGGTCAATTCTCCGGCGCTGCCCTGTCGGGCCTGGAAGAGCAGCGACGCGATGCTGGAAGACCGCGGTGAGACAAGAAGCTGGCAGAGACAGATCGTTTCTTGTTCTGACATAGCTTAGCAGTTGACCACGAAGTTTGGAAAGTAAGGATGTCCACTGAGAGTTGCAACAAACAGCCCTGGTTTCACCGCAAACGCAAGCTCCTTCTTGCATCGATGGCGTAAGTGAAAGGGTGCTTTAGTTCATCCAGGCGGCCCGGAGCCTATCTTGCATAGATGGCTCTAGAAGGGCTCATTTGGGGGGCTCTTGGTTCAGGTTTGCCCCACATGCATCCTCCCTCCAACCATCATGGAAGTGGAGGATGGTCCACTGACCTGTGGCTCCAACTTGGGCACCCAATGCTAAAACCCCACTTGGAGAGAGCACCACTCATGTGGCTAGATGCGGTCACAGTTCCATGTCCGAAGATGAGGATTCTGAAGATCTGGGGCCCGTCCTCCAGCCCTAAAGGATCCAAAAGGCATGTAAACCATCTTTTGGCCGTATTGGCAGCCAGATCCTTCGGATCCTTCAGCCATGGCCTGCTCCACCATCCGCCGCCTCATCCGGCCCCCCCGTCCAGGACCTGGTGGACGAAACGCTCGGGTCGGGGCCTGGGGAGCCTGCGCTTCGGACATCTGCCAGAGCCTCCCAGCGCGACAGGACAGGACCATTGTCCGCGTTCGGTGAGAGCGGCGGAACGTCGAAGTGATAGAGGGCCAGCAAGCCACCTGGACCGGCGCGGGCCTTGGGGCTGCGAAGTGATGGGCCTTGGAGTCTTTAGGACCTGATAGTGATGGGTGCTTCAAGTGGTACCTTGTTCATTCCCACGAACGTCTTCATTCCCGGAGGTGCTTTCCGTCTTCGTTCTGTGGTAGACAATGGCCCCCACCAACAGGGACCGGCGTCTTTCCTTGCAAATTCACTTGCAACAAACCCCAGATGAACGGACTCGTTTTTCCCATCCCGCATCGCTCCTCTCCACGTGCTTCTGAAGCTTCTCCTTCTCTGCTTCCAGGCGCGTGCACCTCACAAGAGAGGAGAAGGGCTTTCTCAGGTCCACAAGACCCCAGAGTCACATGCCCCGGCAAAGATTTGGGAAAGGTTCCTACAAAGAACGGCCTTTGGGATGAGCTCGTCCTCTGCCAACGGGCCTTTTGAATGCCAACACCGACTTCAGCAGGAGACACTCTCTCGCCCAACTCCATCCAGTCTCACTTGACCCCCCGATGCATGGTTCAGACACATCATCCTGTCTTGGCAGGCAAGCACCTGGCATGCAAGTCCTCTCGCTCATCAGCCTCATCGTCCTCTTCACCTGAAATCTAGGCTGCCGGAGGTCAAGACACTCCAGAAAACTAACATGGACCCTGAGAATGGCACCCTGAAAGACTGTTTTCCTTTACAAACCAGTGGTTCCAGAGTCCATGTTAGTTTTCAGTGCGGTGGTGGAATGCTCTGAGCCATCCTGCCCATGAAAACGTGCGACCATCCTACATGCTTCGTACAGCAACAGCCTATCGATACCCCAACCCTGAACAAACAACCTCACTTCCTCTGCTGCAGGGGGGAATGTCATCCAGCGGCTGTGCGTTTGTGTCTGAGCATCCCTGACCACGATCCTTCTTCTCCAGAGCCTCTGCCAGGTTGGCACCTTCAGCGCCACCCACGCGAGGCCGGGAGCCCGGGAGGCCGTGCCGCTGCCAGGGTCGGGGGCGGCGTGGCAAACCTTTCCGCATCCACACCCATCAAGTCCGTACTACATGGACTCACTGGCTTGATAGCTCCTACACAAGTGTCCTCATATCCAGCCCTGATCTTCTGCTTCCTTTCATCGCATCAATGGCACCTGCACCAGCAGCCTCCCAAGGTTTCCCACCATGCCACCCCACCCCCATCCCACCACTGCTTACACTGATGTCAGGCGCACATTCCGTTTGGCTCAGCTCGAGCTCGGCGGCTAAATGCATCCGCTCCTGTGCTCAATCGCTCAGAAAAAATGACGGAGGGGCACCACGATGCCAATAATAGTCTTGAGAATCTGCACCTAGAATCCTAAGCAGCCTTCTGGATCTTCTAGTTGAGTTGGCTAAAAAGGCCCAGGTACCAGGCCTCCTCCAAGTCATCACACCTGTCGCGTGGGCAGCAGTTGGCCACCCCTTTCAAACGCCAAATGGCAGTGGAGTCCGTGGCACTTCGTCATGGACATGATGTTATTGATGAGTTCGACGTGAATTCCATCTGCCGTTGCGGGGGGTGGACCTTAGTGCTCTGTTACGCACCCTCAAACGCACCCTCTTGGCTGCCACCCTTGTAGGCCTGTTGAAACCTGCACCGGGGTGACTGATGAGTTTTCTCATCGTGGAATGCAGCACCTTGCCACGGTGGGCTTGACATTGTTGTACTCCCAGCGCTCCGTCCGTATCGACTCAAATGGCAGTTCCCCTCTTTGAGTTGGCCTTCCAAATGGAAAATACTTGGAAAGTGTGCCAAACAATGGACAATGGCCATGCCAGGAACATGCGTCATTCGCAAAAAAAATCGCGATGGCCTTTGTAAGTTCATGGTTTCAGGCGGAGTTCATTCGGTATGTCATGTTCTATGTCTGTCCATCCATGAGTCAACATACCCGATGAAGCCTACAGGAACTTACATTTCCTTGTAATTATAAGGTAGGGGGGCACCTTATGTGGCACAAATCCTGAGCCCAAATGCCATATAATAAGTCTTGCTCCAACTGTGCAATAAGGTCCAACCTCTTTGAGATGCCTGCGACATCCTGCGACCAAACAGTGGAAAACCAAGAAACACGACGATACAACTCGAGCATCAGGTCTGGGTGTACGCAGAGGCCCAACCACAAAAAGCCAAGTCGGACGAAGATCCCCAAAAAGATTCAGCCCCTGGTGCACGAAACCCATCCCAAAACCACCACCTTTGCCAGATGCTTCACCCCTTCGTTGCTCGCCCAAAAAGAAACACCGATGGGGCCCGTCTTCGCTGAAACCGTCCGAAACGCCTTCGACGCCTTCGACCGCGCCGGGCGCCCCCGGCCGCAGCTTCAAGCGCTCCAGCTCCGCGTCGCGCTCGCTGCTTCCGGCGCTGCGCTCGTTGGAGCGCAGGCTGGTGCGGCCTGGAGGCGGTCGACGACGGGGGGCGTTGTGGGCGGCGTGTGGCGGTGGCTTTGGGACGGCCGGGAGGTCTCCTAACGTTAGACTTATAGGCCCTGTTCTTTAAAAGATTAAAGGTTGAAGCCGCTGAAGCCGGCTTTCCTCCGACGCCTGAAATTGTGCACAAGCATCAGAACGATCGGCTTTGCCTGTAGCATACCCCGGGAAAAGGCGTCATGTCTTTCAGAGTGTTGCAGATGAGGGTGTGGGAGGAACTTTTGAGCAAATGGTGGAACCGAACCTTGGGAACGACGCCACACGCAGCAAACTCGGACAAAGAATCTTCAGAATTTTTCGTGCCCATAATTGCCACAAGCGATTCGGTCGGCTCAGGCCTTGGAACGGCGCCGACAAAAGGGGTTGCGGCTTTGCGCCAAACGCACAGGGCGCGGGGGGGCGCGCCGCACAAAATCCGAAACTGTCTTGCTGCTTGCTCACTTGAAGCGAATCGAGGCAGGAGTCCTTTTCCTGAGCGTGAAGGCGGCAAATCCTCACTTAAATCGACTTGGGCCACAAAATGGTCATGAGGGAAAGCGCGGACGAACAATAGAAGTATAAAACTATGATGACACTTTGCGCTGCCCCTCTTTAACCGCCTATATATATATATATATCCGTGCAATGTAAATAATTCTATAATTCAATATAAGGTCTAAAGTCCAAAAATGTTCAAGTCATGACACGTGTGGTCTCCTTGGGGGGGGCACGGAGTTACGGAGCCCGGCCCCATCTGAAACCCAGGAGCCGCAGGTCGTCGCCGTAGACCATCGAGCTGCGCATCTTTGTGAAGCTCTTGTTGGCCATGCTGGAAGATTGGGACATGATGCCTCGAACGGGAGGAAACACGGGAGGACCCGGTCAACTGGTGTCTTGGTGGCCTCCACTTTGGGCGTGGCCAGGCTGGGGCACAACGCTACGCATGAATATGTGTGGGGGTAGCGTTGGTCTTCACTTGGCACCTAAGAGCTTCTTGCTCCTAGCAGCGTCCTTGTTCCTAGCAGTACGGCGGCCGGCCAGGAGCCCCTAGTAGCGTCCTCTTAGCTCTTCAGTAGAGGAACAAGCAAACGAGAAAGCGGGCAGCATTGCCTGGATCTGTACACATGAGGAACCAGGTGAAAGGTCATGTGATCAGGGTGATAGTGAAACAGGGCCACTGGCCATCAATCCAGCGCTGCACTGGACGAAACCCACCAGCCCAAAAGGAAGGTGAAACACGAACGTAGAAGGGCGGGTTTACCGCACCCCCCACGGATTTGAGGTCTGCATGTGAATCCACTATGTGTCTCCTGGTGTGTATCTGAGTGTGTGTTTGTCTGTGTGGGTGTGTCGATATCTCTCGCTATACCAAAGCAGCAAGGGCCATTGAATAGCCTTTCGAATGCAGTCCCTCCGTATCTTCCCATCTTCTATCCCAGCAGCGCGAAGAGCGCTGCTGTCCCGTGGCGAAGAACTTCATGGAGCTGCGACCCTTCTGACTCATGCGCATGCCTGGGAATCGCTTGGAATTTCGCGTGCGATTGGTGGGGAAACCCACGTCCATCTCAAATCGAGCAGGTGTAGGGGAACAAGGTCGAAACGTTCAAAGACCATCTCAGATTCTATTTAAACCCCTGAGCCTCTGAGATGGCAGTAAATAGAAACGTTCCCACTTCCACTCAGGCCCTCAAAACAGGTCGACCCCGGAGTTGCCCACTGTTCTTCCTCGAATGAGTCCCCTACTCAGAGTAGACTCGGAAGACGACGATGGCGACGAGATCGAGTTTGGTGTGGTCATCGATCGAAACATCACGCGCCCTTCCACTCGGCCGGGCTGCTGTTCTGCTGCATCATCTTCATGCTCTCCCGGACGGAGCGCAGTTTCGCTTCAGGGTCCACAGGGGGCTGACTCTCCTGAGAGGACAGGGGATGGATGGGGTGATGGAGGTAGTGGTGATGTGGGTCTTGGGCGATGTTCATCGCATTGAATCGCAGGCAGTCTCCCACGACTACAGGCCCTTCTGCTCCCCAAACACAGCTTGGAAGAGGACACGTTTGCATTGTATGGCCATGGACAAACCCACTCCGAACGAATCCGAACGAGCAGGCGTCTGGAAACATGCGAGGAACAAGGAGCTAGAATCCAAAAATCCTCCGGCCATGGAACCTATTCCTCAAGAATGTCCTGGAAGCAGTCTTCAAATTGAAAGGAGAGCAGATTCAACAAAAGAGGCTGGACCCTGGGCCTTCAGACGTTTCCTAGCGAGGTCATACGTTTCCACTGGGCCTGCCGAAGATTCCCAAAATGAGTGGGTTTTGGAGGGCTCGGGGTGTAAACAAGCCCGGGGGGTGCTCGAAAACGGACCTGACGAATGGAACACTAGGTGCAAATGATCATACAACTCCTGACAAAATCTATCCAAGTCTCATCCTCCTTTTTCAGGCTCTCGTCCTCCAAGGCCAGCTCATACTCATCCTTGGCGGTGAAACACGCTTCCCCCTGGGCCTCTCCCCACTTATGAATGCTTTTGATGTAAAACAGGGAGAGCAAAGAACACACCTCAATCCCTGCCAGCACCTCTCCAGCCAAGGATGGAATCCCAAGACTGTTGCAGCCTCATAGTCGCCCCTAAAGGGGCTTCACTTGCCGCCATCAGGTTCAACAGGACCACACGGACCAAAGTGACCAAAACACAATTCTTTGTTGAGCCTTTTTCAGGGTGACATCCCTTCTTCTTGCATCATCTACCCGCGGCCTCTATGCTCCGGCACGTCTCACCCTTCCCCCACCCCAGTCAAACACCCCAGTCTAGTCTGCTCCAAGACTCAATGATGCCAGCGTCCCCTGCCTCATGGATAAACTTGTAAACCATCTTGGCCAAATCCACCGCCAGCAGCGCGCAAAGGTCATAGGCCCAAACGATCAGACACTCTTGGGCGTCCAAAGGCTCTGGGAAGGCATACCTTGGAGCATCCAAGGAACCACGACGGACGGAGGGGAACGAGGTGCAGGACTATACACTCTTGAATGCCAACAGGCTGAGGCCCTGAAACCCCCGCCAGAGCCGACGGAATCTTCGTGCAGGACTACCTGTGGCCAACCTGTCGCCAGAGTCGACGTCGCCTTCAAAGGGTAGGGGAAAGGTCACGTTCACAAGAGCTCGCTTTTGGGGAGTGGAACCCCTAAAGGCACATACGCTTATTGACAGGCAGCAGTAGCAGTACCAAAAATCTACCAAAACCAAGCATCCATCTGATGCGAAAAACCGTCACATACAGCGAACTACCGAATGCATCCCAAAACAAGCGATCAGATTTCCCCCCAACATGCCAAGAGCCTCCAGACACAGCGGAGAACAAATCCCGGCATCTTTTTGAAACCATTCAACCGAGCAGCACGGCCAACAGCGTGGAGAGCACGTTGCCCAGCATGGTGGAGATGAAGAGCTCCGTGGAAGGCCTCGCAGGGGCCGGAGCTGGGACGGTGGGGCAAATCACTACCTTTCGGGGCATGCATGTTAGGGCAGGTGTCAGATGGTGTCAGAGGTATTCCACCAAACGACCCCAAACCCCCCCAAGAGAGGTTGATTGTTCTCGTTGTTCGCTGCCGGGTCTGCCAGTCCTTTTGATCCATCGATTGCCAACGTGGCCATACGCCCTAGAAGATTGACATGGAACCTGAAAGCCACTGGGTTGTAGAGAAAAATAGCCATCCAGGCAAGGTAGGAGGGCAATAATTCAGGAATCATTCAACTCTTCCACCAAAAAGTGGCCCATATTCTTCCATTCCCTTTTTGCGCAGACTCACACACCGTGCAATTTTATGCAAACACACGGCACGACCTACACCGTCTGCGAGTGTCGAGTGAACTGGGCACCTGCTGAAGAAGAAAAGCCCAGGCGACCGAGCTGAGAAGATCAAGAACTCCGCAGCGATGGACACCTCGACCGCACGAGCGAGGCAAGCGGCTCGGCATCGGTGCGACCACCCGCACGGCTCGGCATCGGAGGCCTGGAAACCGCTTCAGGCATCGGTTCAAGGCCACACCCCCCCCGCCTGGAGCCAGATTGCATTCTGTGCATGGACTGAGGTCGGGTAGTGCCCAGTCTTGGTGTGGCTCCTTGCGTCCGTGCGTCACCCAAACGGCTTCCAGTCACTTGCGTGGCACACACAGTCCCCACCGGCTTGACGTTGCGAATAGAGGAGTCGCAATTGGTCCGAACCTCCATCTGTAAACCAATACCAGTGGGAGGATTCCGGAAGCAAGTATCAGAGACAAAAAGCCTACCAAAACACCAACAAAAGGCTACTTGGTGGCCCTTGAGAAAAAAGAACAGAGAAGGCCATCATGGTTTTTGAAGTTCGGGAGGGGAAAACGACAGACATATATATATATACATATACATATACATATAGTTGTATACTTGTATACTTATACAGTATCTAATATCAACAGTTGAGCCCTGCCAGGGCTCTCAATGCCCTTGACCAATCCCATGTCCATGCACAGGTAGAAAATGATGGATGCCACACCTTGGGAATTGTCTTGACAGCTTCTCTTTGGGCTAGGAAACGCTACACCTTTCCTGGACACGCAAAGTCCGAGCCCTGGCACGCACCCAATTTACTAAAATGAACGTTGCTCAGTTTTGGGCATCCCCACATTCTGCAGTAGCTTAAAACCGTCGGATGCTAATTACAGGGTGCATTCAAAGCCGACGGTCCATGGCGCGCCCATGGTGCATGAGACAACAAACCTGCTCATCAAGAAGCGAAGGAAAAAGGAATGCAAAGCAGGCTGGCGCTCATCACGGAATCTGAGAATGAGCCTCCAATCGTGATTCCTTTGGATCCATTCCCATGTTTTTCTCACTCAGTCACTAAGCACCAGTCAGAAGAGGAAGGATCTCAACTTCAACATCTGGCTTCTTAGAGCTCATCCCAGGCGCTCTGGAAGACGCCCAAGGTCATCGAGAAGCCAATCAAGTGCCCAATCATGGCCTTACTTGGCCGCGACATGGCGAAGCCTGGCGAACCACCCGAAAACGCGATAAGAACATGGAACCATGCGGAACATGCATGGGAGGAGTCCAATGTCCTTCGTAGAGGGGCCGCCCATCTCACCAGCCCAGGTCGAGCGACGCTGTCCGAACCCCCAAAAGCCACCAGCTCACCAGCCCAACCGGTGTTTTTGGCGTTGCCAATCGCGTCGCTGCCCAAAGCTGTTGACATCGCGCAGCAGCATCCTGGAAGCCTATATTCAAAATCCAGAAGAGCAGGAACAGGCCCTCTTGGAAGATCCCTTGAGGGATCTTTGAAAGACATCCAGGAGAAAACAACATAAACTCCAACTCTTGCTGCTCTCCCACTTTGAAGTGAAATTGGTCTCCTGCACGCCTACGACTCACCATGCCAAAAGCCCCGTCACCCACGCGAGCCGCTCGCGTCATTTCACCCGGTCGAAGGCCTTGAGCTAGGTCCGTCCGGTCGATCCCTGGAGTCCTAATTCAACCTACAGCTTCCTGGATCCACACTGAGTCTGAACCATCTCGGCATCCACATCCCACCCACCGCAGCAATGTGCTGGAACCCACGCGCCGCACACCACGGGCCCGTGCCCCCAAAAGAGCTCCAAGAGGCGTGCTGCGGCTCCGCGGCGGCCGTCTGCCGGTCCTCCGCCACGGGGATCATGGTGACGTCGTTGAAGAGCGCCAGGAGGATCACGTACCTCGGACCAAAGCCGACGACCCGTCGACGCGGGGGTTCCCGCCCCCCCCCCCCCGCCGGAACCGGGGCGAACCACCGCGTGGAGTGGAGGAAGGTCCGGAGGAAGGGGAAGAGATGGGAGGATCCTCCAAGGAATCTGCCTTCCGGTCAGCCCAAAAGGGGAGGTCACCTGGTCTCCAGAAAGCTGGGTGGTCTCAACCAAGAGCCTCACAAGATCTCACCAGTCTGGATGACATGGAGATGCCGAGAGGTGCGAAAACAATCACATGGAGCGCGTCTTGTCCACATAGTGTGCAGTAGATATCCTAGATCGCCATGCCGGCAAGGCACAAGGGGTCGAGGGTACAGTCAAAGACATAGACCAAAATACTCAAATAGAGCAAGATCTGGATGGTGGCAGCCAGGCGATAGGAGACGTACCTGAGAGTAATGAAGCATATTTGCAGGTGACTCATTCATCTGCATCACCACTTGCTTCTACTGGGCGATGCTCGACTCTACTGGGCGATGCTCCACTCTGGATTGTAAAAACTCTTACAGTAGATCTCTTGGCGGCTTGGAGGATGTTCCGCAACGACGCGGTCGCTTACCCCCATTGTACAGGAACTTGCCCCCAAACCCCATTGCACACCGCTCACTCTACGAATGTCCAAAGCACCATGGCACAAAAGCCGCCCCCCGAAAACTCAAAAACAGCAATGTGTCCACTGTCAGCAGCGTGGAAGAAGGGAAGAACCATCAAACAAACCAGCTGGCTCAGCTTCGCCCGAGCCGCGAGAAGAGCCGGGCGAAGATCTTCCGGGACTCCACCACGGCACCAAAGACCGCGGAGAGGCCCTCGGTGGTGAGGATCATCGCCTCGGCGCACACGACCGCCAAACCAAACCGGAGAGTTCTTTCGTCCATCAAGAGCTGCTAACGTCCATCGAAGCCACATCATGTCAACTCAACCGTGAAACTTCAAACAAACATGCGAAAGAACGTCCCACTCCTTCGCTGCAGGGCACGCTGTGCTTCACAGACCCCGTGCACGCCACCCCCGCGGCACCCAACCCACCCGGCCGCTGCGTTCTTCGCCGCATCCGTCGCGTCCTCCACGGCGATGCCGCACTGCGCCGCCGAGAGCGCCGGGGCGTCGTTCACGCCGTCGCCTACGGGTAGCACGTTCAGGGAAAAAACTGTTCTTAGCCATTCCATCCAACCAATGCGGATTTGCTACGGTGGATCGGGAAAACTTCGGGAGGGCGCTGCTGACTCTCTCTCTCTCTCTAAGTGTTTTTTGGAACCCACCGCGCTGGGGTCATGCTTGCCCACCCCTCCACACGTCGCACCTGCCTGTCATGCCCACCACGAGCTCGTAGGAGCGCTGCAGCGCCAAGACGCACTCGCGCTTGTCCCTGGGCAACACCTGGCGGCCGTTTGGCAGACCTGGCGATGGCCACCGGGGGGACAGCTCAGCGGCCGTCGCAAACACCTGGACATGTAGATAACCGAGAAACCAGACGTGAACGGCCTGAACCAATCAACAAGTTCATCAGTGCCAAGCCTGGTCCTTCTTCAAACACCTTCCAGTCAGACATCCCGCCCACAGAGAGAAAGATGCACAGCACTCACCTCTAAACTCCAAATCTTGAAACTCAGGCCGCACCTCTCGCCCTCTCCCCATCCTCTCCCACCCTCTCCCACCCTCTCCCCCCGTCCACCTGCGCGAAGCCACCGGACTGGCGGATCGTCTCGTCGCCGGTGTGGCCGCCCTCGCGGGTGGCCTCACCGGGCAAGATGTTCGTGGCCATGCCCACCTCGATCGACGTGGCGCGACGAGGCGGGTGGCCGGAGCGAAGACCAAGTCCCTGGGGGTTGGCGGAACGAGGACCCGTTACCGACGTCCGCTTAGGCCCGGAATTCTCTGGTGCTCCAAATCCCGCAGCTGAGGTCACGAGGCCGAGCCCTCTCATAGCTAAGGCTTAGGGCCAGGGGCCATGCGTGCCGTCTCGATGGCAATGTTCAGGTGGTCGCCAGTGATCATCTTCACCTGCATCGCCGGTCGACTGCTGGATGGATGGATCCATGGATCAGGTCGGTCCCAACCTAAGGCTTTCCAAGGCTTTCCTTCGAGTATGTTCGAATAAACTTGTTGTTTGTTTTGTCATTGTCACGGCATGAATACTAAATACTGGAATAACTTCACTAACGTTACATAACGTTTACAATGCCTTTCTGAAAAGATTGATGTGACAACACAGCTCCGACACTAACTCCGACACTAGCTGCCAAAAACACGAATCCGGCAAGATATGGGCAAGCTTGGTGCATATCCATGAGTGTGTGGACAAAGGTTGTTATTGTTGAATACACATGCGCAGCCACTGGTCTCTGAATTCTCCTCGCCGCCTTCCCCCCCCCAAACATCCCCACCCCAACGCACGCAGCGGCCTCCACGCCCGCATCCATCAGCCGCCGCACGGTGATGGCGGTATCGTAGCGCGGGGGGTCGATCATGGGCAACAAGCCCAGGAAGTGCATGCCTCACCGGGACAGACGGGAAAGACAAACCTGGGCTTTGGTGAGTGCAGCATCTGGGCTTCAAACACCCAAGCGTCTGGGTTTGAACAACAAAGAACAGTGGCCTTGTTCTTCAATGTTGTTCCTCTTTCTGTCTTGCTCACACTCAGCCCAAGCTCCTCTTGGAGCTGACTTGCTACCACTGGTTTTCTGGATCTAGGCTTATAGGCTCATGCATGATGGCTCATGTCACCCAATTGGAAGATTAAAGTCCTCCAAAAACATGGTTCAACGTGGACTCTGAAAACAACTGGGCTGGAGAGGAAAGTGTCAGGCTTCCAGGATTCCTTTCAGGTTCCACGTGAGTTTTGGCAGGGGAATCTACCTGCCTAGCTTCTCTAAGCGCTCACTACCTATCTGGCCACACTGGGCGCCTTCCCCCTCGATGCCGGCGGCCACGGCGATGGTCTTGTAGCCCGCGGAGGACAACTCCTGGACGAACGGTGAGGAGTTGCTGCAGCAACAAGCAGATTTGTGAGCTCCTTCACACAGGTGCACGCTGCGGGATGTTTCTCCCTGTAACACGCTGTGATACTGGGGAGATGTTGGCGCAAATGGTGCGCCCATCCCCACAAATGTCTCGTGCATCGGCTCTTCAAGAAAATTGGCAATTGAGCTACAGGGTCGTTTTGGGTGCCATTCCTCCCCATTTGCTTGGCGTGAGGTTGGAAAGCGCGCGAAAGAGGTCAACCAAAGGTCCATTACAGTATAGCTGGTGGCCTTTAAGATAGGTTTTGCATGGTTTTTCCAAGAAAACACCAAAGCATCTTGGATTTGGGGAGGCCATCCCTACGAGCCTACCACTTATCCCAATTCCAATCAGGATTTCAACCCTGGTCACGGTGGAACAGTGGAACATGAAGGTTTCACCATCGCCGCGGTTTCGACTCCCGTCCCACGGCTCCCGTCCCCACGGGAATGCGAACGTCCCGCGCGTGGTGAAGGGAGGGCGCGTTTCGCCGCAGGGGGAGTCGGACGCTCCGGAAGAACCGAAGAACCCGGTCTTTGGCACCTGGTCGGTCTTCTGCACCATCTCCAAGAAGCCTTCCTCTTTGCATTCCTGGCAAAGTGCGCAAAAATGACCTTGAAGTGTCCGGCAAAGCATCTGTGAGACGAAAGGATTACAAAAATTTAAGACTAATTCTGGGTCAGGACTCGGCTCCCCCATTGCCCATTGAATCATTCACGCGTTGGGCACTCACCTGACCCCAAACCTCCCAGCATATACCACCAGCCGCAACGAACCACCACCACTCTCATCTCCCTGCCTCGCACGTCCACTGGAGCTTCCCCGAGTCTTGGCCACCGCTCGAGGTGTCCATCACCTTTGAGCACAAGCCCTTGGCCACAATGAGCTTCCGGTCATCGTAGAGGCGCTTCACCGTGGCCACGGTCCTGCGGCGAAGCTAGGCCGAAGAACCACTTCACTACACCAACGACTGACTTATTGAAATGGCGGACCAATCATTGACGAGAGGTCGGAGATAAAGGATAGAAGCCTGAGTGTCAGCCTTGGAGTGCGGATTTTGCGGAAAGGTTTCATCTGTATAGCCAAGCATTGAAGTGCATCAAGAGTAGATGGCCCAAACCGCAACAGGTGACTGCTAAGGAAACAGTACCCAGTACAGAATACACATTAGAGACATATATACATATATATATATATACATGTATATATAAATATGTTATGTTGTCTTAAAGGGTCAAGTTAAGTCTATACCACCTGACAGAATTTACTATGAGGTCCACGCCGCCGACTTGGAAGATCGCAGGTCAACACGGGCCACCCACACGAAATAGCTATATAAGCATCCACGATACCGAGACGATCAGCTGTCCTCGTTGTAATCTCTACGATAAAGTTTATCAGTATATCTGCATCTATCTATACATATACATACGGGCATGTATGTATCTATCTATATAAGTCTCTCTCTCTCTCTCT